TGGAGGGTGGTGTAGGTGTCTCAGGAGTTGGAGCAGAGCTGGATGAGGAACTAGGCACTGACACAGTTACTATAGGCACCTCTAGCTCCTTCCCCCTCCTACTATATGTAAGCAACTCCCCTAGAGCTGTAGGCCTAACACCCCTTGTCTCCTCCTCCCCTTCGTCTTCATCCTCCTTCTCTTTTGAGTACGGGATCGAAATTGGGATTGACCTCCTTGAGCTCTCACCATTCTCCCCCTCTTGCCTCATACCTCCAGTATCGGGCAAGTCGCCAAAAGGTGAAGTAACCCCCACTTTGTAGTACGGCTCGAGTTCCCGAAATCGCACATCCATGCTGACAAACAGCCTTTTTTCCACCGCGCTCCAGCAGACATACCATTTCTGGGTGTCATTGTATCCCACGAATATATACTTCACATCCCTAGGGTCTAGCTTCCCAACCGATGGTCTGTTGTCCTTCATAAAGCATACACAGCCAAATACCTTCAATGGTAGCCCCCCCCCCTCGCCCCCGTTATCTCCCTTCAGTGTCTTAATACACAGCCAAATACCTTCAATGGTAGCCCCCCCCCCTCGCCCCCGTTATCTCCCTTCAGTGTCTTACAAGGAGACTTCCACTCCAACACACTCGAGGGCATCCGGTTGATTAAGTGAGTAGCAGTTAAGACTGCTTGTCCCCACAACACCTTTGGGACATTCATCGCCATCATTATACTCATAGCAACTTCTAGGAGATGTCTGTTCTTCCTCTCTGCTACCCTATTCTAAGCTAGGGTGTATGGGCATGTAGTCTAGTGTAGAATCCCCTAAGCTAACAGATACTCCCCAAATGTTCTGTTGGTATACTCTATCCTATTATCCGACCTCAACACCTTTAATGCTGCATAATACTGAGTCTGGATGTGCTTATGAAAAACTTTGAAACAGCCAACAACATCACTTTTGTTTTTCATAAGATACACCCAAGTGACTCTAGAGAAGCAATCAATAAATGTTACAAAAAACTTGCATCCATTTATAGAATTTGCTGGGCAGGGTCCCCATACATCAGAGTGTATTACTTCAAACTTACAAGAACTCCTACTACCTAAACTAACATAAGAGATTCTAGTCAGCTTCCCAAACTCACAAGCATCACACTGTAACTTCTGTTTATTTACTTTTCCAAACAGAGTTGGAAACATTTTACCCAAAATGCCAAATGACGGATGTCTCATTCGTTGATGGTAAAGCATCAACTCATCTTCTGCACAGACTTCAGCTCCTCATGTTCCCGTCCTCTCCACCACAGATGTCAGCGCTGAGTCCATCCCTTCGTGGTCTAAGTACCATAGCCCGCTACGCCATGTCACAGTCCTAAGTCTTTGCCCTGTCCCTTTCTCCTAAAAGATCACCTTGGGAATGTCAAAAGAAACAATACAATTTAGTTGGAGGATAATGGCACTAATGGATAACAGGCTAACAGGAAATAAAGGAGCATGCAGAACATTAGATAAAGTTATAGAACCTGTAAAACTAACAGTACCCTTACCAACCACATCCTGTGCTGTACCATCAGCGATCTGGATGCTCTCTGCTTCTGCTAAGTGCGTGTAAGATAAGAACCCACTGGCATTACCTGTCACATGTCTGGATGCTCCAGAATCCATTATCCAGGCGGTAGGTCTTCCCTCGTTTAGATGTGCACGAAGGGCGTAATTGGCATAGTCCCCTCCAGAGAGAGTAGTGGATGACCCCTCAGACACATCAATGTGCACGAAGGGCGTAATTGGCATAGTCCCCTCCAGAGAGAGTAGTGGATGACCCCTCAGACACATCACCTACTGCTCTCTGCTTCCCTCCAGAGAGAGTAGTGGATGACCCCTCAGACACATCACCTACTGCTCTCTGCTTCCTCCTCAGTGCTGCCAAGAGTGCCCGATCCTTATCAGTGAAGATCATCTCAGCTTCTTCTTCTATTTCTGCCACTGTCAAGTTTGCTCGGTGGCCTCCTCTTCCACCTCGCCTGCCTCCACGGCCACGGCCATAGCCTCCAGCCTGACCACATTCACCCTAGTTCCTCTCCCTGGGTGGCTTAGGGCACATCTGTCTCAGATGCCCTACCTCTCCGTAGTTGAAGCACTGCCTAGTCTCCCCTCTGAGTCTAGTGTTATCCGGATTGGATGCCACCAGTGCAGACTTCTCCCCTGTAAGTCCACCTGTCCCAGCCTGTAGCCTGATCCGGCTCTCCTCCTGTATCATGGCCGAGACTGCCTCCTCTAGTGGTGGGATCTTCGTCTGGGATAGTAGCAACGTCGTCCTCTACTCATACGTTAGAGCCAAACCACGGAGAAATAGCATGATCCTCTTCTGCAAAGAGGCCTCGCGCTCCTTGCACTCCCGGTCCTTGCAGCTCGCTAGGGGCGAGAAGTGATCGTGATCGAGCCACAAGCGCTCCAGCTCTGTGGCGTACTCATGTACAGTCCTCTCTTCCTGGACTATAGCGCTGATCTCCTTCTCGATCTGGAATACCCTCAGGTTATTCCCGACCCCATCATATGTCCTTCTTAGCTTCTCTCAGACATCCTGCACCCTCCCAAGACCATCCACTGTGGTAGCAATTGGTTGGACAACAGAATTCAGAAACCAGATGTACACCAACATATGAGTGGACTTCCACTCATCTCTTTCTGCGGAGCCCTTAGCCGGCTCAGTCTTCTCCCCTATCAGATATCCCTCCAGGCTCCTCCCAGCAAGGGTATATTTCACCCATCGCAACCAACTCAAATATGTCGCAGGTCCATCGAGCTTTACATCGATAGGTGGAAGCTCCACTTTCTTAGGTGGTGGCTTTGTCGAGCCCTCTCCATTTTTTTTCGACAACCTCATCAGTTGCATCAGTGTTGAGATCTCATCAGGATTCAACTTCTTGATGATCTCCTCCATCGGATTTTTACCAGTCTCCGTCATCGATCCAACTTGTATTCTTGTGGTGCGCAGCGAAAATTCGAACAGCACTTCGACAGCACAACAAGAGAGTTAGATCAACAAGAATTCCTGTTTCACTAAGTAAACAAGAACGAAAAGCAAGATATCTCAACAAGGTGAGATATCAACTCTTCCTCTCATCAGTTCGAGGACTGACCTGTCGAGTGAACCTAAACAAGCTATTACAATTCGAGAAAGGAAGAAAAAAAAGAGTCATCTAATATAGATTACAGATCTCCTTCATTTTCCTTTTTTTCTCTTGGATCTAATCAGCACGTCCTGGCCATCTTCTCTTCCCTGGTCCTTTATTTTCTTTTTTTTTCTTCTCTTGGATCTAATCAGCACGTCCTAGCCATCTTCTCTTCCCTGGTCATCTTCTGTTTTCCCCCAACAAATCCCCAAATCACACAAAAAAACTCCAAAAAACAGCAGAACCGTAACCCTAATGGCGACGACGTCCCTTCGAAAGGCCACCACTCGCCTCCCTTCCCCGGAGGTCAACCGGGTCCTCTACGTTGGCGTCTCCTTCATCAACGCCGACGCCACTAACTCATCCAACGACGTAGACGACGGAGGACGCCGTCGTTTGAGATCCGAGGACGTGCGCGGTGAAGGTAACCGATACTGGAGCCAAAGCTGGGCGGCGGAAAGCGAGGTACCTCTAGAGTTCTCCGACGACGATGGGACACTTGGGCGGCGGAGAGCGGCGGCGGCGGAGAGCAACGGATTTGGCTCAGAAGAGGGAGGCGGCTAGGTTTGGCTCTGATACCATGTTGAAAGATTAGAGTTTTTAAGATGTCTCATCTCACTGATAGAATAGATTGGCTTATATAGCCTTACACCCACATTTACATAAAACCCCTCTAATATTCTTTGATTGCATTATCTTTTCAACAGTTCAAAACCCAAATCTCAGTTACTCATGTACTTAAGTAGCTGACCTCCTAGTCTCCAATATAGCCAAAACAACCTTATAGCCCACTTGCAACTAAACTATGTGGATAGGGAGCACACACTTGTTCATAATCCAGAAGAAGCAAGAGCTTATCTTCAGTCTCATGTACCTTTTTTTCCGTCTTAAAGTTGATTCTTTAGTTACCGTTGTCTTGAAAAAGTGGAATTATATTAGTATTATCAATAAAAAATTACCCATTAAACTAAGTTCAGGTAGTAGAGACAATAGAGATGCTTAAGAACTCTCAAACAGTGATATCACTGGTCTTACTGAAGACAAGAGGATAAAACAACTTAGAAGGAAACACTAGGTCTCCATTTGACTAAAGAAAAGGAAATTTTTGGTAAAAGACAGAAGGCAAAATGACATATAAAACAAGCTTAGGCATGGGCAATTCCAACAACTTGATGGAGATTGACAACTAAAGATATTTATGGTTAATTGATAAACAGTTAATTTTCAGTAAGATTTTTCTCCAACTGCTAATTTTTTAGATGCAATCCACTGTGATAGTTTGATACTCCCAACCACATAACTAAGTTAGTAATTATCATTAAGTAATACTTAATCCAATTTTGTATAAGTTTCTCAAATGAAACAATATGATAACATTAGTCTTTTGCTAATAAATTTGAATAGGATATAGCTCCAAGTAAAGGATTTTAATATAGTATAATAGTCCAAACAGCACGTTGTGAAGAAAAATCATGTAGTGTTCACTTTTGAGTTTTGAATATCCAGCTTATAAGACTGATAAAAAAAATAGTTTAGCAACTTAAGCTACAAAGATTTACTGGCATTTGTAGCATAAGTAATTGGTCGATTAGTTTACCTTAAAAACCCATAAATTTTTTCTACAAAAATTTGATCATTTTGCCAAACAGGTTAATGTCTTCTAAGTTAAATATGTACAGTCATCTGTTTGAAGGTACACAACAGTTTTGCTTGCAAATACTGTAGGAAGCATAGGAAGCTTGCAATTTTTGTAGGTAATATCCACATTATTTTCTTCTTTCTTGCAACTTCAAGCTATACGTCTTCCACAAGTCAGACAACAGGTAACGATTAATGCACTGCTTATAGCAACAAAATAGAGAGTCAATATGTATAGATCACCCAAATAAAACATGCAATCATTCTTAGCTAGAAAACAACTTGTTCGCAAACCAAATCCTAATTCAAAGTCAGATACATCCCTATTCTAATTCAAACCAAACCATTGAACTAAAAACTACTATAGATGACCACAAAGCAAGGGAGAATGGCCTTAGTATCAAACACAAAAAGCTCATCCAAGCTCGAGCAAACTCCTGCATTACTACTGCCAGCAACTGAATCAAACTCCTCTGAATTCACTTCTTCATTCCTCTTCACTCTCCCTGCAATCACTCTACACACCAGCATTGCTCTCTCTTTGTTCTCTCTCTTATCAGCATCATGAGCTCTCCCGCTAGTGGCCATTGTTCTTATTCTCCCGAGCTCATCAGGCTTAAACCCATCTTTTATAATGCTGCAAACATCACATTTTGAATTAGAAGCACATAGGTTGGTTGATGAATTGAGGCCGAGAGAGCAATTGAGTGATGTGCAGTAGAATCTGAGGAGCTCATTTCCGTCAGCAATACATCTTTGATGCTTCTTTGAGAGCTTGTTGGCTTTGTTCTTGATTGAATCTCGGTAATTTTCAAACTTTGTGATGGTTTTTTGAGCATGGTGTACTTTGAGGATCCTGTGCATTTTGTAAACTGGGGCTTGTTTCTTGAACCAGCTTGATTTGAAGATGATCTCGATGATGTTTCTGCTGCTGTCTTCAGGTCCCAGCTCTGATACTGAGTTGAGAAAACAATTTCCAACGAGTATAGAATATATTTTAGTTATACGCTGAGTGACTTTGAAGTAACTATATAAGGAACAGGGACCGGTCTAGGTAATAAAATTAAAGGGGAAAAGGCGACAAATCTGAAAGAAAGCAAATTGATGAAGAATTGTTACGCTTTACTTCTAAAAAGACATTGAAAAATAATGCATAAAGAGGAAGAATTTCTGGTAAGTATAAAAATTTATGAATAATGTTACTATTCGTACACTGATTTTTGAGTAAGCGTGTAAGGAACATGGGATCGTGAAAGCTAAAAATTAAGGAATAAAATCTTAAAACAATTAAAATTAATCATGAGGAAGTACTACAGAAGACACCGAAAACTTTGTAGTAACTTTTGAAAGTAGAACTTACTATATTCAAACATCTAAATATATACAGTGCAAGAATTTCTAATATGTAAATATAAAACAAACTAGTACAGGGCACCAACAAATTTACAAAGATGCAAAAGACTAAAAACTTGTGAAAAATTAGTAAAGAGCAAACCTGCATGCTTAATTGCTTGATGAATCTCTAAACTCTCTGATTTAGTGAAAATCTCTCCACAATCAGAGCAAGGGAATAATGCATTACTCCTCAAAGAAGGCACCTTTGATATCCCAGTCACTGGATCAACCACCATATTACACTCATAACACCCTGATAATCTCCTCAAATGCATTCCTTTAAAAGACCCACCAAGTGAAGAAGATGATGATGATGATGAAGACAATGTAGAATTTATCGAAGCCGATAAATTATTATTATTCGATGAGGAAACAGAGGAAGAAGAATAAGACTCAGAGGAGTTGGTTGGTTCTGGCCTTTGCATAACTTTAGAGCTCTCCCTCAAATTGCAGAGAGAACCAGACCACCCAATCCTTTTTAATGGCTTCTGCTTCTTCTTCTCAACTTCAACTGCAGTTTGATGGTATTTGCATGAGAAGAAGAAGCTTCTAAAGCTTTTCTTCTTGCTTTTTTGAGAATTTTTCTCGATGGGTTTTTTGGAATCCTTCGATTCTGCCATTGGAGAAGAGGTCTGGATTGGAGTGATGGAGATCTTTCTCCTCTCAATGAGAGAAGGCATCTTTGTGCTGTGCTGTGAGATGGGCTCTAGTGTATTATATTGGCGAGAGTGCAGAGGTTGTGGATGTCTGGTTTGTTCACTTGGCTATCATTAGAAAACTACCTTAAAAGAACTTAACAGTTAAAGTAGTGAGTAATAAAAAGAATGAATGCGAATAATCATTGGGTGTTGAGTAATGATAGCTTCCCTTATTATCTGCTTAATTGTCTCGGAAATGAATAATTATTTTTTGTTTAGGGAAAACGGTGCGTTGGCCCCTATCATTATGAAGGTGTAAGAGTAGGATTAAGAAAGGGTAACATGAGCCTACCTTGACACCGAGAGGTAATACAAGGATACCTCAAAATTACATTTCCTTGACAAACAAAATTCTACAAGTTTGGCCGAGTTGTGGATGATTTCTGTCGGAACGCCGAATTGTTTATTAAAAATCCATTGATTCAGCTCCAGCCAAATTGACCAAAAGTCCCCGTCACGGCACACAATCCCACTCTCTGTACCGGTATCACAACTGATATCGGATATCCTCCGATCATGTCAAAATCCTCGAGTCGTGTCGGGGGGCGGAGAGGAGACTTGAAAATGAATAATTAGCGGCTGAGTTATACGAAATAGGGGGATTTTTCCCGTAGTGCATTTTAGTTAATTTGCTAAAAGAACATTGGGTAACTGATGGGCACATTGGGTAACTGATGGGCATCATTAAGCTCACTTGATCAGCATGCATTAACCCATTATTACCATCCCATGCGGTCAACCAGTCAAACCTGGTTCTATGTCCCCACAAATTTTGTCCCTTACATAGAAGCCACGATCATAATCAAAAGAAAACTTTTGATGATGAAGATATATATGTTTAGTTAATGAATCATATCAATTAGGGTGCATGAACCTAATAACATGGAATAATCTCCTGCTGCCTGGTTGGTGTGAAAACGGCGAAGGAATTGTGAAAAACGTGAAGAATAACCCAAAACAGACTCCACCACACCCTGGTGTGGTGTCTGTCATGGGTGTGGTAGAATCTGTCCTGCACCACACCCTCTGCCACACCCACGGTGCAGGGTGTGGCAGAATCTGTCCTGCACCACACCCTCTGCCACACCCATGGTGCAGGGTGTGGCAGACTCGTTTTTAGAATCCCAATCAGTTTGGGATTGTGTTTTGCTATAAATAGAGACACGTTTTTTAGGGTTTCCTAGGCTTGGTTTAGGCTTTGATTAAGCATTGATTGGGGGCTATTTGGAGCACAAAAAGAGGTATTTTTGAGCTATTCGTTTAGGGTTTTATTTGGAGAGATTAAGAGTTTTGTTGGTGAGATTAGTTTGTTCCTTTGAGTGTATTGTAATCTCAGTTTGTACTCTTTCTCTATTAGTGAAAACCCCATCCCCCTTGCCCCGTGGACGTAGGCAACTTGCCGAACCACGTTAAAATTGGTGTTTTGTTTGTGCATTGATATTTGGTTCGTTTGGCTTTCTTGGATTGGCGTTTGGTTTGGTTCCTCGACACAGCTTCAGGCACAACAAGTGGTATCAGAGCTCGGGCAACGCTTGGGCTATTTGGAGGAGTAGATCGCTTTGGAAGTTCATCTAGGGCTTCGTTTGGTGATAAAGGTGGGATCTTTTTAGTAAAAATCTCGTCTTTTTCAGTTTGGATCTATTTCTCGTTTGTTTCCGCATTGGTTTGGTGGTGCTTTGAGGATTATGGCCGAGAAAGAAGGAGTTGTGGGCAGTACTTCCGGCGTGAAGACCGTCCAAAGCTTGAATATCCACTCGATGAAGATTGACGTGGAAAAGTTCAATGGCACAAACAATTTTGGACTTTGGCGATGCGAAGTCATGGATGCGCTCAACGCGCAAAATTTGGAAGATACGTTGGAGTTGGACGGGAAACCGGACAACATTGATGAGAAGGTTTGGAAAAAGATGAATCGAACGGCGTGTGGTGTGATTAGGTCTTGTCTCACTCAAGATCTAAAGTATGATGTGATCAATGAAACTTCTGCAAAGAAGATTTGGGAGATCCTTGAGAGCAAGTATTTGACCAAGAGTGTGGAGAATCGCTTGCATTTGAAGAGGAGGCTTTACCGCTTCCAGTTGAAGAAAGGAACCTCCATTGGTGATCACATGAACCACTACACGAAGCTTCTTGCGGATTTTACAAATGTAGATGTGGTGATTGAAGATGAAGACAAGGCGTTGTTATTGTTGAGTTCCTTGCCTGACGAGGAATATGAGACCTTCGTTCTTACTCTTATTAATGGGAAGGCATCTCTTTCGTATAGTGAGGTCACCGCTGCACTTGTGAATTATCAGCTTCGAAAGAAGGATAAGGAGACTTCAGTTGAGCCGGTAGCAGGGGCGTTGGTCGCAAGAGCAAAGGGTCCAAACCGTAGTGGGAGGTCGCAGTCTAGAGGGGCACATCTTGGAGTTCGTAAGAATCAGTGTGCCTTTTGCAAAGAGGATGGACATTGGAAAGCCGAATGCCCAAAGTTAGTTGATCGAGCCGGGAAGAATAAGGGAAAAGCTATTCAAGCTTCAGAGGCGAATGTTGTCAAGGCTAGTGGCAACGATTCAGATTCGGATTCTTCGGGCTACTCGTTATCTGCACTGCCGTCAGTTTGTGTTGCCTACTCTACAGAGTGGATATTGGATTCGGGTGCTACATACCACATTTGCCCTAGGAGGGATTGGTTCTCCAGCTTTCAGGAGTTGGAAAGAGGGGATTTCGTGCTCATGGGGAATGATCACAAATGCTCTATTGGTGGTATTGGTACTGTTCGGATCAGGATGAGTGACGGGGTGATTCGGGAGTTGGTTGGAGTGGGGTTCGTTCCTCAGTTGAAGGAGAACATCATTTCACTTGGAGCTTTGGAGGCAGCAGGCTATAGGGTGACCTTGGCGGATGCACGCTTGAAGGTTACATTTGGGTCCATGATTGTGATGAAGGGCGTCAGAAGGAGCAATTTGTACTATTTGCTTGGGAGCACGGTGATTGATAGGGAGATGACGACTTCATCAGATTCGGCTAGACTGTGGCATTGTTTGGTGCTGGGGTATATGATTGGTAATGTCGTGCATTGGTTGTTGAGGAGTGCTATGACCTGCAGATTGAAGTCCTGTGAGCATATTGGGATGAGCAAGACCGTGGTGGAGTTTGGCATTCCTATCCATCGAGCGAGGGGTCTTTTAGGAGGTGTTCAGTCAGGCATTTGGGGGCCTTCCAAGGAGACATCATTGGGAGGTAATCGTATCTTAGTTTCCACAGTTAAAGGTTGTTCTAGGCATTATTGGGTCGCGACCAGTTCCCGTTGGTGTAAAGTCCTAGAAGTCAACAACAATTGGAAGAAGTGTATTGGCAGAAAGGTAACTCGTTGTTCTAGATTTGATAAGGGTCCTTTCTTGCGTTTGTGCCGAGCTCACGGCAATAGGAGACACTTCATTGGTGTGGAGACTTTGGGGCGACGAGATGAGATGACAGTTTCGATGGGTCGTTCCTTTCTGGAGGAGGATCGGCGTTTGATGTCGAGCATTGGCATTGGTGTGCGGGCTTCGACATATTTGGGTCATCTTATGCATAGGTCGCCGACTGCTGCTTTAGGAGTTATTAGATCTTGATCAGGTCGTTTGGATATCGCAGCAGGTGGAGGGTGATGCTACTTCACGTTGGGTGGAACTTATTCCACATACTCCAGATCATACTGCGTCATTTGGGATTCTAGCTGAGGTGACACAGGTTGGGGATCATTTGATTTCGGATGCAGATGATGGATTGGTTTTGGATTCGGTTGCAACTGGTGGACATGATTTGGATACGGCCATTGGTTCACCTCAGATGGAGGTGTTTGATTTGTATCAGTTTGGGGCCGCTGTTAGTTGCAGATCCGTTGGCGATATTGGGGAAGAATTGCAGACTTTTCTATTTGTTTGAGGGCCTTTGGAGGCCGTTTGGGTGAACTACGTGAAGGCTTGATTCCTTGGGCAAGAGGATACGTAGGCAGTCAGTTTTGATGCAGCCGATTTGGTGAGTAGATACCTTCGTTTGGGTGAGTGTTCACACTCCCGTTTGGGTCTCGACTTGTGTGGATGGAGTCCGTTGTCATGAGTCCGTTGCCGTGGCGTACTGGATGCAACAAGTGAGGCATTTGTTTTGGTTGGTGTCGACTCAGTGTTGGGAACACTTCGTCGAGGTGGAGAATTGTGAAAACGGCGAAGGAATTGAGGAAAAGAATTGAGAAAAACGTGAAAAATAAGCAAGACAGACTCCACCACATCCTGATGTGGTGTCTGCCATGGGTATGACAGAATCTGCCCTGTCTGTCATGGGTGTGGTGTCTGCTGTGGCAGAATCTGTCCTGCACCACACCCTCTGCCACACCCACGGTGCAGGGTGTGGCAGACTCGTTTTTAGAATCCCAATCAGTTTGGGATTGTGTTTTGCTATAAATAGAGACACGTTTTTTAGGGTTTCCTAGGCTTGGTTTAGGCTTTGATTAAGCATTGATTGGGGGCTATTTGGAGCACAAAAAGAGGTATTTTTGAGCTATTCGTTTAGGGTTTTATTTGGAGAGATTAAGAGTTTTGTTGGTGAGATTAGTTTGTTCCTTCGAGTGATTTGTAATCTCAGTTTGTACTCTTTCTCTATTAGTGAAAACCCCATCCCCCCTTGCCCCGTGGACGTAGGCAACTTGCCGGACCACGTTAAAATTGGTGTTTTATTTGTGCATTGATATTTGGTTCGTTTGGCTTTCTTGGATTGGCGTTTGGTTTGGTTCCTCGACACAGCTTCAGGCACAACAGTTGGTGTGGGTGCAAATATCTCATACGCAAACGATCAAGCTACATTTTGCATGATTGGCCAAATATATTTATACGTATGCATATCTTACGCAAATATGAAGATCCGTATTTGGGTCTTTTCCACTTTCTATTTTGAGAGTGAAGATATAATTTTGCGAATCAACCATGCATCAATATGTCGTATGATTATTACTTCATCATCGATCCCTGTGAATTGCAATAATTCTAGCTTCTGTGGAATCAAAATATAACTAGAATTATATGATTGACGGTTATGATTGTCAGCGGTAGCCTTTTTTTTTTTTTTGACCAATTATATGATTGACGGTTATGATTGTCAGCGGTAGCCTTTTTTTTTTTTTTGACCAGCAGCATTCTTTGACAAAAGAATGAGTCAGTGACCGAAAGCTGCCGAAAT